ATATTTATATAAAAAAAATCTGATTAGAATTAACATTGTTACATTATTGTCAAACAAATTATCGTTTCACAGTGAGTTTTCCATCGCGTTTCTGTTACATTCATTATGTATTTTAATAGAACATTTTAAAATAATACAACTTGTTTATGGAATAATGTAAATTGCTATATTCATAGGTTTCTTTTTCGCAATGCATTTGATTTGAAAGTACACTAAATTCGTGATCCATTTGATAGTACAAATTCTTAATATTTCACATAAATTTAAAGATTAATTTAAAATTCAATTATTTTAATTTTATTGTGGAAATCGCGTAGTATGTAAAACACATATTAAAATTCAGCACAGATATTTTGGAAACATAAAATATAAACCTGCGAGCTGCAAGAACATTTGAGATCCTGCAAAAGAAACCTAAATGGCGTGGGATCTTTGTTTCGAATACTAAATTTCATAGAGGTCGTCACAGATAAAAATAGATACACGAGGAAACTCGATTTTTTTTCCATTTGTGCATGTTTCGGTCCACGATGCACTAATTTTACACGCTGTTGCGCAGACAGCTATTGTAGCGAGTAATTGAATTCGCGAGGAATTAACATTTTTCTACGAATTCTTTTCGATATCTATGGAGAAAGTCGACGGAAATTCGTTCGAAGGGGTAATTAACAATACAAACATACACGCTTACGATTCGATACATAAGATTCGATCAGCGCAGAGAAGAGGAATTTGATGCATTTTCAATTCATGTATGCAGGAGCGCTGTTAATGCTACTAGAAAATTAGAAACCAGAGTGAATGAATCGCGGTTATTAATAGATACCCATCAACTCCACCTCTTCGCGAGAGGTGATCTGATTTGAAAATCAAATAACTCAACGGATTACGTTTCTTTTGCGTTTCTTTTGTATAAAAAGATTAGATACGAATGAACGTGCTCCGAAATAATTGGCTATCCGTGTTGCATCTTTGTGCATTACACTAAATCGGGCAATTTGATTGTAAGATGAAACTCGACTGTTCATATTTTTTTCTAAATATTGAGTAAATTAGATACGAATCGATTAATTTTCAAATCAAACTACTGAACAGATCACACGTTTCTTTATAGTGAACAAATTAAAGACACAGCTATATCTTTCAAGATCAAACAATTGATTAGATTATACATATATATAGTTGAAATAATTTGGTGAAATTTTTGAAATAATTTAATTTTTGGTATTAATAATATCAGATGCAAATCAATGCGATATAGCCGATGTATTTATATATTTACCAATCTGATTAATGATAATTATTTGTTCATGTTGCATCGTTGTAACACCGACGATGATATAGAACATACTACGTGGTTAATAATTATTTACTTCTTCCAAGAAGTGGAAAACCGAGGCAAAAACATTTCGCCTGTTAATTATCGAGTAAAGCTAAAAATGAAAAGTTACAAAACACGTGTCAAACGTAGCAACTGGGCTGATGAAAGATGCGAAAATGTTTGTACGACACATTATGAGAACAAGGAAGTTTACTTTGTTAATTGTATAAATCTACGTTCTTAAATTTTTCTGATATACATACATATTTTCTTTTTTATGTTTCACAGACTCATGTTTTCCATGAATACATAAAATCCGCGGTCTAGTTATCGCAAACATTATTAAAATTGATTTTGAACCGTAAACTCAAAAAACAAGCAAAGTGTATGAATTGTCTTTTGAAAAACGCGTATCTTGCCGAAGAGAAGCAAAACCGAAGGAAACAGTGGTTTTTAATGCTCGAACGAGAAATGTACAGTGATGCATAAAGCGCATAATCGCGTTCGCTTAGAATCTTTCCATCTTCTTCGTGCACATAATGTATCGTAAGTGGCTGCTTGTGTCACTGGTTGTAGATTGTAGATCCTTGCTTTCTCTAACAGTACCGTATCTACGAGGTTTCTCGATATAAAATCCACACCTGTTAATACGTTATTGCACAATTTCATTCAGAAGAAAGACTGGAAAAATTGTATTGTTTATATATCTTGTTGTGCATGGAATTCAAAACAATTTTAAACAATTAGTTTGCAGAATAAACACTTATTTATGAAGGAAAAATTTGATAGCACTGAATTATTTAAAAATTAAAAATTAATTAATCTGCGATGGACTAATTTACGAACATTTTTTAAGTTGTTGTTACTATCGAGAATTATTTAATATCGATACTTCCATTAAGAAAACAATTATTTTTGTAATTACTCTCTATTTTAGTCAATTGATCT